GAGCTTGTGGGAACACCAAAAAGTACTGTGCATCAAATTTTTACCGAGGATTTGGGCAGACGAAAGGTCTGTGCGCGGTTTGTACCGCACGCGCTGTCAGGCGATGAAAAACATGCCAGAGTGGAACAATGCAGAGACATGTTACGGTCGGCCCAATGGGATACAAAATTTACAAAATCGATTGTTACTGGTGATGAGACATGGTGTTTTCAATATCAGCCACTCATAAAACGGCAGAGTGCAGCGTGGTTGAGCCCAAAGAAGCCGAAACCAAAGAAAGTGCGCATGCAAAATAATCGAGTAAAGACACTGCTAACCGTTTTCTACGATTCCAAAGGAATCATTCACAGGGAATTTCTGCCAGAAGGTCAAACAGTGAATTCTGATTATTATCTCGGAGTCCTCACCCGTTTGTGGGCGAGAATTCTTCGAATTCGACCTGAATATCGAGAGCAAGGTTCCTGGTCGCTCCTCCACGACAATGCCCAACCCCACAAATTGAAGATTGTGCGCGATTTTTTTGGCCAGAAAAGGGATCACAGTCCTTGATCATCCTCCGTATTCGCCAGATTTAGCTCCAGCAGATATCTGGTTGTCCCAAAAGTTAAGTTGACGATGAAAGGAGACCGTCACGACACCACCAAGGATATCCAAAGGGAATGTACCGAAGTTTTAAATGCGATTCCACAAAAGGAGTACAGTGACTGTTTTCGAAAACTTTTCAATCGATTCCAGCTATGTACTGATTCAGAAGGAGACTATTTTGAATAAAAAGAGTGAAATTTTGAAAATAATTCACGTCTTGTATTTTTAATGAACACAGTCCTAACAGAACCTGGACACACTGTGTACTCTTGCAGAACGTATATAAGCACTTCACATGTTTCAATAACAGCAACGCTTATTGCGGCAGGTGACATGACAGCTGAAAACTTGAGGTCTTCAAAGTTTCTTCTACCTTAGAGTCACTGCTAATCTTTCATTCACCGGTAAACCCTCTGTCGTATTAGTGTCCTTCCTTATTAGAACTGGTTCGACCATTCTCAGCAAATTATCAAATGTTCCTTCACTCATACAAAAATAGTTTCTGTAATCCTCTGATTCCGTCACACCAATTTCTTTTAGCAGAACAACATGGGAATACTTTTCACGTTTTTGTAACCTGTTTTTCATCCAATGCTGGCGCTTAACATTTCGTTTTGTGTCTAATGCTAAAATTATAACAATATACGCTTTTCTGCGAGGATCCATCATAATACTCAAGAAAACCGACACAAAACAAATATGCTTTTCTCTTGGTGAGTCGAGCGTTACTGAAGCAAATAATGTCACTTCTAATGATCGCGTAAGGTTGAAAAATAAAGAAGGAAGGTATTGGACATCATTACTGAACGTGCAAGGTCCNTCAAATAAACAATCATACTTACCAAATTCCATATAATGCAGCACCATAACCGCAAGTAATTATGGGTATTCAAATTGGTTTGTTTAGGCTCTCTGATTGGTCGAGACCTGCGTGTAGTTACTGCAGACATTCATAGAGGCAGTAGTTACCGTGTTGCCCTTTCCCCTATTCAAGATTCCACCCCCTGGGCTGGAAGACCGTGATTGTGGCATGAAGCCTGCCGCTTTATTTGCGCGTGTATGGGGAGGAAAGGGACGGGGTAAACTGTCACAGTATTGCCTGTGAGGTCGATCGGAAGGCCAAACTGTGTGTGTATGGGGAGCCTTATGCAGCTTTAGGCTTCTTAGGTACGCCACACAATTCCATACAATTGATGTTAGGAAAGCACAACAGATGGCGTGATTATCCAGTTAGTGCTGCCATCTCTAGCGGAATAATCAGACGGCCATTTTCAGTTTTTTTGCTAAGCTTGAAAGTGAATCCGTTTGACAGTTCATGTCATCAATATTACTCCGTACATACATTTTATTTTTTTTTTAACCAGCCAGCTGTTGACCTAGAGACGAAGCCACAAATAAAGAAATAAATATCAGTCTGTTAATTTAAATTTCTTGTATCATTTATTTTGTAAGATTAGATTTGACTGTTCAACTCATTTTAACTTTATGAATATTATACTGTTGTACAGTAACGTTGCAGTACCTTAAATACATGTAATTAAGCTGATGAGTTTCAAATTACGAGATTATAAAAACCTTATTCTTCGAACTCACTCCTGGGCTTGGTTGTACTGTTCGTACGTAGCATTCGAATGCGCATGCGTGAAGTGTTTGAACTATAGTGTACACGGACGCCGGCATACCAGAAAGACCAAATGATCGAGTAGCGCAAGGGAGAAAGTGTGTGGTATTTTGTTGTCAAGTCTCGGAAGTTTTTTAAGGTTACCAAGTTCGTAAAATGCGCCCTTCTGTATAAAAATGATATTCCAATCTCATATGACGTGCGTTCCGAGTGCGACGGAAGTAAAGTATTTCAAATTCATGGAGAGGCCGTATATTTGAACACGAATACAAATACAAAGGTGACGTTCATGTTCCACAGGTGTTCTCAAGGACTATGTAGCAGCGTAACTTTATTGCAATAAAGTGGGGCGTTCTGATTACGTAGAAAATGTGTGGACTGGTGTGGTGTTGTATGCAGTAGTTCTGTTGCTCTGGTAAAATTGGGAAGTGTTGGTAGTGGTTGTCAGGTGTGCATCGACCTTCTGTGGACCTCTCGGCCGGTTATGGTCTGTGGACAAAGAATTCACAAAACATTCAGTGGGAAGATGGAGGAGAAAGAAAGGCATGTTTCCAGATGTCGGACGTTTCGAATATGCAGTACTTTTCTGCCGAAAACTTACGGGCAACCGTTATTGACGATAGTTGTTCTTCTGACAGTCTGCCAGACATCATGTGCTGCCGGTAAGTTAAAAAACTCTTTTGTAGCTCAAATATTCGTAATGAAAATTTCGAACATAAAATTTAGCCAAGGATCAGTCGTTTTCAAAGTTGTACGTTCATGCTTTTCTTGTGTGAACTTGACAGCCAAGATTCATGTGCAAATGGATGTTTGATAAGGTAATTGTTGGGTCACGGACCGTCGATTGAGCGTAACGAAACTCAAGGTGCAACTTCACTTCTTTTTTAAATCAAATATCCTTGAATTTTATAACTGTCTGATATATTGTTAATGCAGTTGTTCCACAATTTCCGCCCCGAGACATGTGATGTTTGGTACTTTTAACTCGCAGATGACAGTTATTTCAAATAGCGAAAGGAACCATGCTGAGTGGCGGATGGTGTTAAGTGCTGATAAAGATATCTGGTGTTACGTAAACGATTTATCTCATATGGAAGCATGTGTGTATGTGCTTATCTGGCATCAGGATTGGTTGCTGCTTCGGAGAAAAGCTTAGAATTAAGTAGCCAGGCGCCGAGACGTTAAAACCTATGCTTAGCATAATGTCGAAAGCAGTCGTTTAAATATCAATTTGTGAATTTAATACGCAGCATTTCCATCGCGTTTGTTCAATAAATGTAATGTAATAAATTGTGCCCACAGTTTTTGTTGACTTTACATGTACCACAAGAATATTATAAGGTAGGACGTGCTATGGTAGTACCATCTATATTTAAGGTATACCTATATGAGAGTCGTCAACACAACAGTTGATTATAAAATCGATAGTAAACTGTTTGATATTCGATTTATTTTACAACCCACAACATGTTCCGATGTGTAGAGATAATCATCAGGTGGTCCACGAATACATATCTGTCGTCATTGAATCATATTTTAATGTGTAACATTTTTTTTTTAAATACCGTAGTTAAACTGAACTAAGACGCAGGTAGCAGAAACAGTAAATTAGTGTGAGATGAACTTTATAGACTACATTCTGTTGTGTATATAATATTTAGTTGCTTATATTATGACCGTCGACACAACAATTTTTTTTTGTATATATTTATTAGCAATCAGAATGAAATACATTCTTTTAGCTAATTGACACAACAAGTAATAGGAAATATCTTCAATAAAGACAGTTCGTGTTGGTATATATCTTACATGTTTAATATGAAGGTAACTGTGCTACATGTTTCGACCATATAATTAGGTCGTCATCAGGCACTTATGAACATAACTCAAGTGATTAAAATATTGGTTATAATACAGATCCGTATTCTTGCAACTGATGGCTGCGTAGCTAGCGAATATATATTATTATTATTATTATTATTATTATTATTATTATTTAACTGCAAATGGGGTTTCGCCCGGTGGCAGTGGTACTACGATAAGACAACAGATAAATAACACATTACTACAGTAAGACAACAGACAAATAACACACAAACACGTTCAAACAAAGCACAACACACAAACATTAGTAGAAAATTAACATAATATATAAAAAAACTAACAGCAATGAATGCGTAATGCCATGATTAAAAACATAAAGATCATAATCATAACATGAATTGTATACTAAACCGTAGATACATATCTAATATATAAATATATATTCGCTAGCTACGCGGTCATCAGTTGCAAGAATATGGACCCATATTGTAACCAATATTTTAATCACATGAGTTATGTTCATAAGTGCCTGATGATGACCTAATTATATGGTCGAAACATGTAGCACAGTTACGTTTACATTAAACACGTAAGACATATTCCCTATTACTTGTTGTGTTGACAGTCGTAATATAAGCAATTAAATAGAGTGAAATGATTTTTATCACTTTTATTCCGTTATATACGGTATTAATCCTAGCTGATTTCCTCAGATAAACTTCAGCACCTGTAGCTTACATTTCCGTATAGTTATAAAGACTTCGTTGCCTTGATTACGGTCAGATCGTGGACCTCCTCAAGGAGGGCAGCCAGATAATTTGCTTACAGACGTATGTTTAAGTCGTCTAAGAGTATTATTACCAGTACACTAGAATATTTAGGACAGAAATATATATTATGAGACTACACGGCGTTGGATGATTGGGATGATTGATGGATGTTGTAGTGGAAAGTACTTGGAAGAAGTGGCCGTGACATGATCCGATTCTACCTCACAATTTGCGGGAGGAAACGAGGAAAACCGTGAGAATCCTCAGACAGGATAGCCGATGACTGTGCCGAGGTTCTAACCGGGCACCTCCCCAATACATGTCTAGAGCGTTACTTACTTATGGAGCTGAGCCCTTCTGGAGGAGCCGCCAATTCTGCAGCTACTCAAGAATTTCCCAGCATTTTATGGAACCCGAAGGTTTATTACCTTGTTCACAAGAGTCCTCCACTGGTCCATATCCTGAGCCTGATCAATCCAATCCATACCATCCGATCCTATTTCTCTAAGATCCATTTTAATATTGTCCACCCACCTGCGCCTTGGTCTTCCCAGTGTTCTCTTTCCTTCTGGCTTTCCCACCAATATCCTATATGCATTTCTGTTCTCCCCCATTCGTGCTACATGCCCTATCCACCTCATCCTCCTTGACTTAATCATTATAATTATACTTGGAGAAGAGTACAAGTTATGAAGCTCCTCATTATGCAGTTTTCTCCAACCTCCTTTCACTTCATCTCTCTTCGGTCCAAATATTCTCCTCAACACTTTGTTCTCAAACACCCTGAGTCTATGTTCCTCCCTTAATGTCAGAGACCAAGTTTCACACGCATACAGAACCACATCATCATCATCATCATCATCATCAGTAATCTGTCAAGACGACAGGTCCACAGTCTCTTTCAAAACAATTCCTCCACTTAATGCGATCTAGAGCTTTCTCCTTCAAATGACAGTATCCTCTTCTGTCCCCAAGGTCATCCAGCATCTTCTTACGTCTTCTTCCTCGTCTTCTTGTCACTTCTATCCGCCCATCTATCTTTCCTTCGGTAGCTTCTTTTAGAAGGCAGTTTCTGCGTAAAACATGACCAATCCAATTAGCCTTCCGTTTTCTTATTTCATGTAGGATATTCCTCTGCTCACTGACTCTAATTAACACTTCTTCATTTCTCACATAATCGGTCCAACTGATCTTCTCCATTCTTCTCCAACACCACATTTCGAAACTTTCCAGATGTTTCTGATCTACTGCCCTAAGTGTCCATGTTTCAGCCCCATACAGAGCTATGCTCCAAATGTAGCATTTCACTAGTTTCTTCCTCAAATTTAAGTCCAATTTGCTGGTAAAAAGATTCTTCTTCTTGCTAAATGCAGCTTTTGCCATGGCAATCCTGGATTTAATTTCACAAGTACACCTTCCATCATCTGTTAACAAGCTACCCAAATATTTAAAACATTTCACATTCTCCAGTTGTTTTTGGTCTATCTTTATTGTGACTGGGGTTGGTTGTCTCGAAATTTTCATTACTTTTGTTTTTTCCACATTCATTTCCATGCCATAGCACCTTCCAATTTCAATTAGTCTATCAATCATGCCCTGTAGCACAGTTTCTTCCTTAGCCATTAACACAAGGTCATCTGAATATTTCACAGTTTGGAATTTCAATATTTGGTATAAATTTTATGTGCATATTTTACTGCATATTTCGGAAGTTTTTCATGCATAAATGCATACATATTTAAGGGATTATTAGGACATAAAAATCTGGTCACTTATAAACGAGGTTTGGACCAGTGACACGATATATAGAGCACTTATACACACAACTCGGTGCTATAAGCAATTACAGCGCCACCGCTAATCTCCACAATTCACAAATCACCGCAGCATCCGCTAAGCTTTTTCCAACCTACTGTGTCTTCACCAGCCGTTCCCTGGCAAAGGCTTTAACAGTGGAGATTCTTCAACTTCACGCGCTCAGGCCATTCAGGGCTGGCCATCTCACAATTGAACTGAACTAAGTCTTTTCTTCACAGACTATCGTACAGAACTGAACTATCAACTGACTTTGTTCCCTGCTTACAACATCTCAGCACGGACCACGCAGAAACACCCCGTTTCCTTTGTTGCATGCGTAACCGTTGCCACGGGAACGTGGTTACCGAGCCGTTGACCAGAAACGGGTCTGGTATATCCGCCGATTTCGCGATTGTTGCATAGCAACGCCTTTACATGCTACAATATGTATTAGCAATGGCAATATTGGTGCAACTGTAATGAATTTAATACTGCAACTGTAACCAAAACGGAAACACAAATTTGTGTGTTCTTACCAACACAGTAAGGAACCTTTACGTTTAACAGAAAGCTTCTCAAGAGGGAACTGGGTTTCTCCGAGTAATTCGGTTTCCCCTGAAAATTCTCTTTCCACCAACTGCTCTAAACTCATTAATCGTCTTATCATCCGACACAGACCCGATACTGATAAGAAACTTGTTATTAAACAACTTAAAAATACCTGTTCAAGGGATTGGTTGGACTGGTAGAAAGAGTTAATATTTTGAAGCTCGCATATGCCGCTACTTTATATACTTTTTATTCCTTTATTATTTATTTATGCTAGAAGCCTGAAGGTCGCGGTTTCGATTCCAGATTAGGTCACTGAATTTTTCAATTCACATAATCCTTCCAGCCGCACTATGGGTGTGGGGTCGACTCAGCCTCTAACAGAAATGAGCACCAATAATCTTCCTGGGGTGTAAAGGTCGGCCGGCGCGTAGGGCTGAAAACTTTGCCGCCATCTATGAGCCGATTGCCTAGAAAATGTGGGAGCCTCGACCTCTCACAACACTGTGGGCCTCCATGGCCTGTTACAGAGAGTTTTACCCTTTTTTTTTATATATACACAGTCGGTAGGACTCTTTGGACTGGGGATCAGCCTGTCGGAATGCCTCTACCTACATACAGGACAGCACTTAACACAGATTAAACGAACACACAGACATCCATGGCTCGAGTGGGATTCGAACCCACGATCCCAGCGTTCCAGCAGGCTAAGACAGTTCATG